AGCTCAATTTTAACGATCAGGACAATCAAATGAATTTTTTAATTAATTATAGTTTATTTACGTTATTTTTCATAATACAAGAAAAGCCTTGAGCATGGCTTAAGATCTCTATAAGAGCTATCGAATACCAAATTTTGAAGCATTTTCATCAAACATTATAAAAGTTATGGATGTTTCAAAATGACAATTTATAACGACGATTTTTGCACTTTTTTGCAATATAACTTCGCGAAAAAAAGTCTTCCAATGATCTAACCTACACAGATCGGTAGATAATTAAATAATGAACAAAATATCTTTAGCTATTTTTGCAATCCGACAGCCACAAAAAAAGTTATATGAGAAAAACTAAGAAAAAAAATGGTAAATTTTTACTAATTGTTTAATAACAATTGAAGCCCGTGGTTTGGTTGGACAAAACTATTTTTCCATGTTTACAGACCATAATACGAAGCGATCTGTAAAGTTTGGACGCTATCTCCGATTTGTTTCTTATTGGCTATTTTTTGATGCTTCATCTACCGGGCTATTATTGGAGGACGAAGAGGACTGGAAAGGTGTCTGAAAGGGCTGGAGTGATAACTTAGAGAACCAAGAGTATTTTTTTAAAACGTTTTGGGAGGATCAAATGCTTAGCCCCTCTATCGCACAGGAGTAGCCGATCCTACGAGGGACTAAGATAAAAATTTCGGGCATCTAAAGTGATATACGGTTATCCTTAATTTCAATGATATGAAAATATGTATCTGTGTTACACTGCCCATATATCAGTCTAAAATTACGATTACGAACTTCTTATAATAGCTCCGACTACTAAACATGCGACAGATAAATTTTTTCTACATTGGGTTAACATTAAACATATAATAAAACATACCTGCTGACAAGAATATTCCTCCACTTGGTAAAAATAAGACACTCTCAATAGGTCCATTATGATTGACACTAAGTACTTTCTTACTTGATCTGGTATCGTACATATTTACAATACTGTCATAACTACCAGATAAATAGATATTAGGTGAAACTGGACTGACATGTCCAGCTCTTACGTAGTCAACGTGATCTTCAAAAGAAATAATTTTTTTTTCACTGGGAATATCCCAAAATGCAGAAGACTTGTCATCCGAGAATGAAACAATGTGTTGTTCATCCACAGTAAAAAAAGTTCTATGAACCGGTGCTGTATGTCCACTAAATATTCTTAAAAGATTTTTTGTGTCAACATCAAATAGTTTAATAAGAGCTTCACTTCCTCCTGTACATAATAAGCGCCCATCTCGTCGAAAAGTACCTCCATATGCAACTTCTTTGAATCGATTTAAATTTTTAGTAGCTAACTTGGTAATAGAATTATAAATTTGCACTCGACAAGAACATGTTACTGCAAAACGATGAGTTTCGAGAGGGGAAAAATCTATGTAATCGATTGGTCCGAATTCTTTAACGAGGACTGGTATCTGTAAATAGTAATAGAATTTGTGGTTACTTTTCAAAATAAGCACACCATGCTTCTGTAGATAAATATTTTAAGAGATACATGAAGATGTTTCTATGATTTGCGTATAACTCTGAGCTACTAAAATCAAGCATCTTGAACTTTGTAAAATTATAACTTTTATTTGGTACAGAGTTAACTGCACATAATTGATTAAATAGTTAAAAAATTAATTGATTAAAAAAGGTTCATCACTACAATAGTCGTTACCATAAAGGTTCTAATAGTTATTTAGCATCAGGTAAATTTACCATTAATATTAATATCCTCAACTATCACTGCTGAATCACACCACTTTTCTGCATTTAATGTGCTTAGCTGAGCTTTGCATACTCAGATTGTGTATGCAAAGAATCACTTTTACTCGGTTGATTAGTAATAATCATGTTGGAGGTTGATCAAAACTTGTGATACGAATTGTGTTCATGGAAAAATTTGAAAAATTAATAATATTACAAAATTATATAATAAAAATATTTGAATAAGAACTTTCGGGCTTATAATTGCCAAATAATGTTTCTCCACGTTTTTCGTGAAATAAGCTGTAGTAAGAAATTTTATTTTGGTACAAGATTTCAGGCACAAAAGTTTTTAGGTAGTATGAGTACTAACTCAAGAGCACATTATACGTATGCTGAATGTCTTACCAGGGCAGTTCATGCAGTCGTAACTGAATTCGGAAAAGGATATTTACAGTTAGAATTTTATGGCCATTTTATGCTATGATGAGAGTCAAAAACAGAGACTAACACACAAAAATTTTGTAATATAAATTAAAAATACAAAAATATAGTAATGAACACTAAAAACTCTTATGTATAAGACCTTGTAGAGTAAATTTAATAATTTTTTAAGTCTCTTCTTATAGTAATACGGTCACATTATGAGTAATTCATTCTAACGTTAAATCACAATACTTCTCCAACGAAGCGGCTGCCTTTATCAAAATTTTGATACGTCACGTTGTTGACTATTTTAAGGGATAAAAATAACGAGGTTAAAAAAAGAAATTAAAAGATGAAACAATAAGTAAGAAAGGAAAAAAATAAATGAATAAAATAATAGAAGGATAATGTATATTTACTAGACAAAAATGGGAAGAAGTAGACTGTACATACGTTGGCAGCAGAGGTAAGTCAGTAATAGACTATATTATAAGTAGTCAAGAAGCCTTCGATCACATAAAAAAATTAAAGATAGAACAAAGAATAGAGTCAGATTACATACCACATGCAATATGTTACGAAAACAATAGAAGGAGAAATAATAGAAAGGAGAAAGAGAAGGAAACATCAAGAAGGGAATGGTTATAAGAATTGATCGACTAACAGTAGTAATAATGCAAAAACTAAAATTGGAATGAAGGCAAGGTAGAGAAAAGATAGAAAAAAATAAAAGCTATAGTAGAAGAATCAGTGCCTGAAAATAAAAAACAGTTAAAAAATTGGAAATTAGTTGGAAGTTGGCAGAAAGAACGTAGTATGACAGAGAACACAAGACAGAAAAGGCTGAGAAAAATATTTAAACTATGAAGGAAAAAAAGGTATAGAGAAGGAAACAAAAAAATCCAAGAAATGTAACATCAGAAAGACAAACCTGGAATTATATGAATAAATTAAGGAAAAAAAGAAGGCGTGAATAATAAAACCGATATCAAAGAAAGGTAATTTTATGAAAAAGTTAGGTAGTGAAGACGAAAAAGTTGTGATGATATAAGAGGCAAGAGAGAAAATTTAAAAGTATACAAAAGCGCAGCGGATAAGGAACAATAAAACAAAGACGAGTTCGAGAGGCTGACACCAAGGTTAAAACAAACGAAAGCACCAAAAGAAGATAAACTAGAAAACGAATTATAAAAAAATAAGCCAAAATAAGTATGTACAGTGATATGAAAGCAACTGATGAAAGGATGGGAAAAAAGGATACCAGTACACCGGAGAAAAGGTGTGATGTGCCTAAGTTATAAAGGAGGTGGAAGAGAGAAGCTGAATAACTTTGGAGGTGCAAAATTAACCTGTACGACATATAAAATATATGCAAGTATGTTAAATAAATTACTAAATAAAAAGGTTACAGAGAAATAAGCAAAAAGTCAATTAATATTGAGAGAAAGAAGAGTGGTAATACTCAAGTAATCTGTCAAGCTTAAAAAACTAATTCGTCTGAGAAATGAAATTATTTTTTGCTTTAATACATACGTTTCTCTAATTAACTATAATTATTTAAACTATAGTAAAGCATCATTTGCCAGAGCAGCTACATTAATATCTATAATATATTGTGAACGATTAAGAAATTCGATAGCTTAGTAGTTAGCGTGCTATCCTCCTAGGGAGATACTCTAGGGGTCATGGGTTCAAATCCCGTCAAAAAATATTGAGATTTTTTCTCCGGCTTTTTCAATGGAATGAGTATCCAGGATGCCGAACACCACTTGTCAGAATTAACAAACAAACAATCGATTTTTCTGGTGATGTTTGGACCTCTAGGGGCTCCCTTTTCGAAGGAAAGCCAACACCTGGCCAGCTCATCAGGTAAAGTCACTGTTGGTTATAAAAAGGTCGGTACAGCGAGTTAGATGGTTTATTGGAAAATATCTTTCTGTTAAACTTGATAATAGCTGGGGTGTGTTTGAGACAATCGCTGCGCCCTGTAAATAGTACCCACTAGAATGGATGACCGAGTCGTCTAAAGGGAAACTCTCCAAAGGGCCTACATAAAAGACTCGCATACTTGGAAAAATAGAGGATGGTAATCACGGAAAAAGAATAAGGAAGGTAGAGGTTAAGGATATAATATACATAAGAACCCTGCAAGGGTATACGTTGGAATCTCAATACAATACAATACATTGCAAACGATTCAAATATATTTATTGAATATTTAAAATTTTTTAATCCCGTTTTATTTGCAGTATTCATTAGAATTTCAAATATTAAAATAATTTATACCAGCAGAACAATACATGTACATAACTAATAAAAACCAAGAAATTATTAATATGTAAGTGTACTCATCAACATCAGAGTACAAGGGCTTGATACTGTAAGGTGGTACTATCAATACTCGTACCACGGTTCAGTTTTTGATGAAATTCAATTTATTAATAGATATTAATGTAAAAGTGAAACAAGTACACTTTTGTAAGGCTACACTACATTGACATCAACATGTAGTGTATTAAGTTAAATACAGAAGTCTATGGGGATTTACATATTTCCCTGGACCAAATCAAAACTACAATTCAGATTTCAGTAAAAATAAGTAGATACACGATGTACGATATATAAGTAGACCTAAAGATATACCTCGACCTTTACTCCTTTCCAACCTCACACGACCGTCACCCACCTGTGCTTCGAGCTCTATAGTATCAAGTATAAATTTTAACAAAAAGTTAAACTTGCTTGGCATAGAAAAAGTTCCTCGCATGTAAGGGTGCAATATGATAGCACGTACACACACGCAAATAAAAAATTACGCTTAAATTGTCGGGTGGAGTGTTAGAATTCGATTGATTTTTGAATTTCGTTGCTTTAAATGTAAAATGTTTTATGTTGAGTTATTCAAACTAATTTGTATCAGTCATATAATTACTCTCTTTTCCTTTATAAATTTGTTTACAATTGTTATCAATTTTTCATCTCTTAGGAACACAAAATAATTTGATTGTTCTATTTTTAATCTTCATTAACAACGGAACACATTTTTTTTTTTGCTAAGCTTGTTATTTTTCAATTTTTGAATGTTAAAGTTCATCCATAAGCTATCAATATTTTTTAACATCGTTTATTATGTTGGTTTTACACCCATGCTTGACCACTGGAAGTATTTGCCTGAAATCGTCACTGGAAATAATCAATTTACCACCAAATGGCGATGCATTATTACTTAATTTTTTTATCTTACAATAATAAGTTTCCTTTACAAAAGAAAAAAAAAACAAGTGGACAGTGTGTGCTTGGGTATCCAAGTATGAAGTTATACTTCTACAAAATTTTATGGCAAACAATACAAATTTCGAGTATAAAAGTACCTTGTATCAAACAATATTGTGTTTAAAGATGGTGCAATTATCGTGGGAATTAGTATACCTACGTTAATTGGGTATAATTTTAATTAATATTTAATGAATTAACGATTATAAACAATATATTACGGGACGATGAAATAAAAATTATGTATAGGCTGGCTAGTACAAGACTGTGCACTTTCATCGAATCTTCGGATGATATTAGATCAACTTCCTACTGCTTACGCTGATAAGATCTGTAACATCACGCTCACATCTATCACACACAATACCACACTTATTGCTAGTACATATTTAATACCAAAAATGTTATTAAAAAACAATCTTGTAGTACAGCTGTTGACTGTACCATTATATTATATATGTTACATTTGAAAAAATTGATATTTAATACGTAACCTTCTGAAAAAATCATGTTAAATAATATTTATATGATTTGTAGGAATCTTCCAATTTTTTGGGTATCAAAGATTACATTTAGATAATATAATAATAAACCTATCGAATTTTCAAATATACCTATACGTTGGTTTTTAAATGAATTTAGAAAGAGGGGAGGAAGTGTGCGTAAAAGCACAAATGTGAGTACACACACATGAGTAAAACAATTGCTAGCTTTACTGCTCACATTAGCTTTCCTCTCACTTCTCTGAACTTTTCCCCCACTAACTATGTGAAGAACGTCCTTATGTCGAAAAATAACTTAAATCACGAATGAAAAAATCGTAGAAGAATAAAACACAACAACAATTAATCATCGTATTTGTACAGTACAAAAAAGATTTTCTTAATTTATGAAAATTTTGGTAAAATATAAAAAATTGTGTAAGCAGTTATTTATTTACTGTGNATACACATTAAATAAGAATTTACATAAAAATAAGTTACGAACTGCACCATAAGATGAAGCAATCGAGTTTCATGTATCG